CTTAAGCAAGTCTTTTGATCCAGCCACCCTGACAGACGGTACAGGCAGGTCCTTAAATCTTTCTGCAGACCACAATGCATTTGAGCATTACAGTCTGGTCTAGGATCCACCCCAGCCTGTGACTAGTCAATGAAGGAGCAGCAGAAAATAACTGTTTATCACTTTGCTTTCTCCAAAAGGAAGCTTCCATTGTTTAATGAACAGTCCTATGTAATATAATAGAACTCTGATGTGCTTGGAATGTGTGCCCTTCCCTTCCCCCACTCTAAGCGCTGCTGTGCATTGGATCTAAACAGACTGGAGTATGTTTGCCACATGTATGTAAAAATACATGTCATTTACTTTACTAAAGTCATAACTTGATTACATGGTGGGGCATATTGTCTGGTGTTCAACCAGGGCCAGACTGGGACAAAAAAATAGGCCTGGGCATTTTAGACTGAGCAGCCCAATCACGTGAACCCTAAAGGCCACACCCCATTGAAATCCAGGGGCGGGATTTTACAGCACTGTTATAGTGTAAAGCCGTAACCTTTTTTTCGTTTTGGATATAGCATTGAACTGTTCAGTAATGCCCTCTCCAATACCCAACACTCTCACTAACAAATGTGTGTTAAACTAGAAAAATATAATACAGGAGCAGAGCAGGGGCAGCTCCAACAGCTCAGCTATGAGTGGCAGCAGAGTGGACACACCCAGGAAGCAAAACTCAAATTTTTGTGCAAAGATTATTGCGAGAGGCATCGGGGGTCACGTCTTTTGTTTTCACACTTGAGCCTTAAAGAATGTAAAAGAATCATTTACCTGGAAACCTCCCTGCTGACTTGCCTTAGGGCAAGAGATATCACAGCTGGGGGATGGGGCCAACAACATGCAGTGAGATCCAGGGAAGCCCCGCAGCAGCAGCCTCACTGTGCACTCCGAAGGCTGTGATTGAAGGACAGCAGAGCAGAAGGCAGAGCACACCCACTCTGAACTTTTCAGACAATGGCGGCTCACCTTACCCCTCCCGGCCTTTAGCGGCCAGAAAGGGGATTTATGTCTTGGCTGCAGTTGTTGTGCAGCGCAGGTCCTGGCCACCAGGCATAGCGGGCCAAGCTGAGCCGGCTCAGGCTGGGTTAGTCTGATTGCGCTCGGTCTGGCCTGGTTTGGCCCCAGTGGCGGACCTAAGGAACAATGGGCCCAGGGAAAATATCCCCCCCCCCCCAGCTCTTACAACTCTTATAATGCTCGCATCGCCCATCTGACAGCCCAACTGGCCACTTGAGAGTCAGAACTAGCCACCTAAGAGCCCGCGCTAGCCACCTCAGAGCCCCACTGACCATTTGAGAGCCCGCACTGGCCACCTGAGAGCCCGCACTGGCCACATGAGAGCCCCACTAGCCACCTGAGAGCCCTACTGACCACCTGAGAGCCGCACTGACCACCTGAGAGCCCGCAAAGACCACCTGAGAGCCCGCACTGACAATGTTAGATCAGGAACACAAGCTCAGGGCTCCCACCAATTCTGCATTATGGTGACTTAGATAATTATTTCATTATATATTACAATGTAATATTAATAGAAATAAAGAAGTGCACAATAAATGCGCTTGAAGTATCCTGAAACTATCCCCCACAACCCTACCCCTCACATCCCCCACCACCAATATTTTATACAGCAATGCAAAATGGCACCAGCTATAGAGGACTACAACTTTTAGCAACACATTATACAGATATGCAGAATGGTAACGGCTATAGAGGACTAAAACTCTCAGCAACACTTTATACAGAATGCAGAATGGTAACGGCTATAGAGGACTACAACTCCCAGCAACACTCTTTACAGAAATGCAGAAGCAGAACAGCTATAGTGGACAACAACTCTCAGCAACATATTATACAGAAATGCAGAATGGTAATGGCTATGTAGGACTACAACTCCCAGCAACACTTTATACAGAAAGGCAGAATGGTAATGGCTATAGAGGACTACAACTCAGAAAAAAACACTATATACAGAAATGCAGAATGGTCCAGCAACACTCTATACAGAAATGCAGAACGGTAATGGCTATAGAGGACTACAGCTCTCCTCAACACTTTATACAGAAATGCAGAATGGTATCTGCTTGTCCTCGGCAGGAACACCATGCAGCAGGAAGAGTCGGCTCTGTACTCAGGTGGCTGCTCACTGGGTCCTCTCGGCCGAGGTCCCAGCATTGCCTCACTGTGTGCCTGCAGGCTGCTGTGCAGTGTATTTATGTATTTTCGCCTCCTGGCTCTCTCCCAGCTCCTTCCTCACAGCCGGGCGGTCACGGCCCCAGGCGCCCTATCCTGCCACCGATTAGGACAATTCTGAGAAAACTGACCATATTCATGGCAGCTGATAGGTACAACAGACCTGGAGCAGGTCACAATCACATGATCAATGGAGAACATTCTCTAATGTCTATATTTCTATATTATTGGAGTAGCAGCACAGAATTAAAGCTGCTACCTGCATTAGACAACAATCAGTGTATAATGCAAGGCCTTACAAATGTATACTCCCTTGGGAAGTGACAAGTGCACAGCTTTGGTCAACTGAACTATTTCCCTGGTTTACTGCAGGAGAATGGTAGAAACCTGGCCCTAAGCTCCTGCCTAGGTTGCTTTGTGGATGATCTTGCTCTGCAGAGTGGGCACTGGCTGATCTTAAAATAACAGGGCAATAAAGCACTTGTTTAGCTCCAGAGGGATGAGCCTACTTCAGAACTGTAAAGTCACCAGAATGTTTTTTCTATTGGTTCCAAAGACACCAGATGGTGGTCAGAGGATCCAGCAGCCCCCATTAAGCTAGAGCTCGCTAATAGCTATAACAAATAGCCATGAAACCATGGCTACACCTTTGTATACAGAGAAGAGAATAACAATCAAGTAAATACCAACCGTGCCTATGCTTTGATGAACAGCAGGCAAAATGGTCACATTACAACTCTTAAGGAGAATATGCATGAAATCGATATAATGTTCAAAGTCTATCAAGTTGGTTGTCATCAGAAAATATGTCCACTGGAGCATCATAAACCCCTTCAACGCCCTTCAGCAAACCCCTATGTACCATGGCATGGATATGTTATTTCAGTAAACACCCTCGTCAGGGGCCTGAAAAGGTGGCTGCATTTGCAGTTCAAGTGCTCTCCTTTGACATTCAAAATACTAGCTACTTTAAATAAAAAAACTTTTATATAACATATACATATATAAATGTTAGAGATTATTATTAGAATTACGTGTTCCTCACATTGAGTGGATGCAACACAAAATATATGGCAAAAATGTAGAAAGAAAATCTTGCAATAAGACACCAAATGAATTCTTTAAATCAAAATAGCATCACCAAAGGGCTTGTGCAGGTGCTAATGTGTCTTTAGACAGCAGAACAGGAAATGCAATATACTACACAGCCAATGGCTCTGTGGTGTCGGCAAATATGTATGCAGAACATGGAGCTTATCACATGTCAGCTAATGCCCTTGAGTGCTAATCTCAGGAGTCATGGGGTAAATACACTTTACAAGATCTGTGTCTTCCCTTGCTGTCAGTTCTGTGACACTAGCTTCACGTGTGAGCATATCCTGTGCCTTTGGTGTCTCATGGACATTCAAAGGGGAACAAGGCAAAGATAGTGGCTCCAGACTCAAGCATTACAAATAAACAGGCATATTTATTTTGTTACTGTAAGGGAAAAAATTTAATTATAAAATAATGAATACTTTATCCATTCATCCTGCTTGAGTACAGACAGATCTAAATGCAGAAAGAGATGGGAGGGTTCCCTTATCAAAAAGTCCTCTCAGGTTCTGAGCACACAGGTTCTAGGTTCTAGGAACCTGCCACAACAAATTAGTAGAGATACAGATAATCGTCATGGAATCTGGGGTCTACTAAGTGATGAGTAAGAGCTACAGATCTGCCTCATAGAATTTGGTTCTACTGAGGGGTCTGTAATAGCTACAGAGCAGCATCATGGAATATTGGGTCTACTGAGGGGATTTGTCAGAGATCACATCAGCATCATAAAATATGGGGCTTACTGCAGGGTCTGTGAGAGCTACAGATCAGTAGCATAGAATTTGGGTTCTACTGAGGGGTCTGTCAGATACATATCCAGCCATATTGAATCTTGGGTCTACTAAGGGACCTGTTAAAGATGCAGCATGGAACCTGGGGTCTACTGAGGGGTTCTTCAGAAATACAGATTACTGTGATAGAGTCTTGAGTTTATTGAGGGGTCTCTCAGCGATACCGATGCATGGCATGAAATCAGGGCTACAGATCTGCAGCATGGTACCTGTGGTCTACAGGGGGGCATGGGAGAGATAATGATTATAGTGGCGTAGGCAGCAAGAACCAAATAGTGAATGCTCTGAAGCAAGCCGCCCCCTCACTCGTTTTACAATTAATGTGTAGTAGGTTGAAAGAAGGGAAGTAAGCAGTAGCAGGTACAGGAGACAGGAATGTTGAAGGGGAAGGGGGCAAAGTGGCATGAGCAGGATGCGTCCCCACCATAATTTTGCTATGGAGCCCCTTGATTTGAACTTATGTACATGTCTACATTATTCAGTGGAAAAAACAACAAACAGGACAAATTCACTGATTTGACCCTCTTCCTCTTGACCAGATCTTCAATTGTACCAAAGTAACAACCGAGTGGATAACTATCTGATAGAAAAGTTCGGGGAGGCCATATAGAGACCAGTTATGATCACAAAAGGTCTAAAACAAACATATGAACACCTTCATCCACCTCAAAACTGCTTGTGTGCTTTAGAGTTTACATGTATCAAACATTTGAAAAAAAATGAATACAAGCAAATACATTTTTGAAAAGAAACAGCACATATGACAAGGCGCCATTAATAAAATGTATATTCAGATTTCTAAAGCTTAGCCGAGCTGCAATGCATATGGACAATAGGTATCACAGAGAAAACCGTTATGGTTGGACAAGCAGAATGTCCAGAGTCACTCACCGTCTGATGGTTTCTGTCACAGTAGCGGAGCCCAAAGTAATCTATCTCCACAAGGTTTAGGTGGCGGAATACGTAGTCCAGGACAACTGAGCCTTTCGTTGACTTCTGTGGGAAAGAATTTACAGAATCTATTGAGGAAAATATTCTGGGTTGTCAGTGTCATTCATGCGTTCACTGAGGCTTTGTGCGAAGAGAGGGGATGTTTTATTGACCCGGAGCTACGTTTGGCCTACTCACAGCAAGAGACTATGGGCTTTGTGCTCCTAGCTTGTATTCGTTTTACAATAGGCATGAAACATAAACAAAGGTGCTGCTTTTGTGTTTCACTGCTGGGCCTGACAATTGACATCTCTCTGTTGAAGTGCGTTCCCTTTCCCATTCTATAAACTCACATGTTGAGGCACAAAAACACCTGCTGCTGCACGGCTACATGGAGGTTATGTGAATGGGCATTGTGAAGAGCCTGGCATGACCGCATTCTTGAAATGAAAACAAACACTACTAAGAGCTTTAAATATAATAAGAAAATTCAACATGGTAACACTTCAGTAAGAGGGACTAATGGCAAACTCAATCTACTAATCTACTAAACTATCTAAGAAAAATAATAATGGCTTTGTGCAAACTTTTTGGAATTTTTTACTATGTTTACAACATTTTACTTGTTTTATATCTATTTATTTACAGTATTAACATCATAAAATTATTTTACAAATAAGCATTTAATACAGGGTAAACCCCTGACGCAAGACACTCATGTCAAGGGAAGCCCAATTTGGCCCAATTCTTACCCAATCATGGCAACCAACACTCTAATCAGGCTATGTATAGCCACAACTACCCAATAAGCTTATCTGCTGGTCAGATAGATATCTGAACTATAGGAGGTGCCCCCTGTAAAACATGGAACACAGAGCAGGTAATGATGGGTTGTGAGATCACCCAGCTAAGATCTTATCATAGAATCAAGATGGAAGGATACACAATAGAAATTATATAAATGGATATAAAATCTACAGTGAGGATACAAGACTTCACTTCTCCATACTCTACTCTGAATATGCAACTTGCATATCTGTATAAACAACACATTGCAGAATAATTGGCTCCATCAGACAAGTCTCACTTGCTCTGAGGTGACAGATTCACTTTAATCTATTCGCTGTCAATGTGCAAAGTCAAAATGATTAATGTGTTTTCTTCCAAGTGCAGATCAATGGGTTTCTTTTTTATTATAGCATTTTCTAAAGCAGGTTTTGTATGATGTAATACTACATTTAAATTATTTTCATCACTAAGCAAATTGTTATGGATTTTACCATGTACTGAATGTTATAGTGCGTGGTTATGGTTTGATTGTTAACCTATCCATAATTATTATAAGCAATTAGCAACATACTTCCAAACTACCAGTCCTATGAATTTAAATGCTTTCTCTCATCCTTTTCCCATGACCATTCTCTTCCAGGTCTCATGTATTGATCTCTTTAAAAAATGTTCTATTTCACAACTAAAATGTTTAAACTGCTTCTGAAGGATGAGCTATGGGGCACACCTTTTTGCATTTTTAGCTTCCTTAGTATACAGGAATATTTCTCATGAATGTGCAGCAGCTCCTACAAGCTGCTTTGACTTAATGGGAGAGGAGAATCCTGACAATATTGTCGGGATCGCTTCTCAGCACAGAGCTTAGCCTCACCCACAGTATATTACATGGAATTGTAAGCTTATGGTGCATTTTTGATTACAGGAGTACATTGCAAAATGTGCTCCTGTATCACAAGGAAACTAAAAATGCAAAAAAAAAAGCCGTACCCCCACAGTTCTCCTTTAACTTTTTGCCAGAACAACCCCCATGTTTAAGGAGGTGCAGTGTTGACAACAGCAACACAAAATTCTTGTTTACTTTCTCTACTTTACTACATACATTTCAGAGAGTTTAGTTGTAGTACAATTATATGTTTAGACAGTCATTCATATTTTAAGTGATATTAAAGACAGAAGGTTTTTAAGCTAATCACAAATGCTGATTATATCACTTAGAGTGGATGCTGCTCCTTGATGTTGAAAAGTAGTAGCCTTCCCACAGAATCAGCTGGTCTCCTGAGCACTGATCCTGATATCCTGTTTTAGGGTGGCTCCTTTCCCTTGCAGAGTGTCATGGAGCCACCCTTGTGTGTGCTAGTAAGCGGTGTGTGTCTCCACAAACACACAGGCACAGCAAGGCAAAACACCCCCTGCTCCTCTTTCCTCCCTCTGGATTCATTAGTGAAAAACAGTTTGAGAGTTTAATACAACTTTAAGTGATTTGCATTTTTGTGGTATTCCTTTTTGGCTCATGTTGACTATTACCAGCGTCAGTAAATGGAAGAATCTGGGACACAAGCTACTGTTTTTGATCTAACTGCATTTATGGTCTTGAACTCATAAATTACTGTTCTAGCCAATAGAATGAATGTATGCACGTGGAGGCTTGGACTGCTCAAAAAAGGCCAATGGGCACAAATACAAACAACTCTGGTCCATATACAGTGTAGGTGGCATCTGCAATGGTAGGGCCATAATAAATTGAAAATCACAAAGTCTGAAAGGATAATAAGGCCTTACATAGGGAGCCAAGAACAAACTGTAATATATTGCACCATACCAGTTCTTAGGTGGGATGGCTGCATTAGTTTTCTTTTTTCAGGCTAAGTATTTTTCTGCAAGTACAGAAAAATACCTTTCATTTGTCAGAATTCCAGTGTCCTGGTAAAACACTGAGCAAATTAACTGAAACTTCAGACAATGTTGCCAGCTTTCCCAGCTATCATCTGTGAAATACAAAACACATTGTCCATATGGAAGCTGCAATAGTTAACATTTTTGGTTTTGGGTTTAGATATGCTTTAGTTTTGCTGCAGTAAAACCTGATGTTTTACAGCAGAAACTGACAATGTATCTGTTTGTTAGCATCTAGCAAATATAGCTGCTCACAGTTTATTCCCCAGGTTACGTGGATTCTATAATAATTTGCTGAGCTGTAAAAACAGAACTCCTGGTAAAACATTTTTTTCTAGCTTTGGGTAGAGTGGAAAGGGTTAGAACTTCTATTAAATTTTCCACATTTAATAGATTCAATTTCAGTTTCTGTGATGTCAGATGTCACCAGAAAATGGAAGGCCAGTCTCCTAAATGGGTCGCCTGTACTGGTGGCAACTGTCAAAGGTACTATTAAAAACTTTACTTTGGGAAGGTATCATTTCACATTTGGTTGTGTCCCCAAAACGGGAAGTGTGATTGTTCTCACAAATGGAGACACAGCCAGCAATAAAACCCGGAAGGAAGTTCTAACCCATCCCTACTTTATCAAAAACTAGAAAGTTCTTGAGTTCTATTTAAATATTTAAGAGTTCTATTTAAAATGTTATGTGTACTGCTGCTGCTTCTGCCTAACACTTGTATATTCATAAATGAAGGATGTACAGAGGCAGGCAGTGCCAGAAGCACACATAGCAGTGCAGGAGATGCCTGTCTTGGGAGGAGGAGGAGGACATCCCATTGTTCCTGCACCACACAGCAGCCAGCAGAGCTAGCCAATGGTGACTGTTAGAACTTGAAGATACACTTCAAGAACACAGGATTTTTCAAAGTCTGACCTGCTTGGTCTATGACCAGCATGTTAGAAATAGCAGGCCACTCACATTAAGCAGACTCTAAATGTACTTTATGAAAATTGTTTAACTCTGGACATCTATATTTACTGTAATTCGGTCTGGAAATGCCATATTTTCATCTGTGAAATAGACGGTATTTCAAGCACGAAACTCTTGAAGTGCACGTGAATCAGTAATATGTAATCAGCATGTACTTAGTGATTCCAGGGCTGAAGTACTATGAAACTTTATAGCAGAATACATTCATCCTAGATATCCATCAGCAAGGCTTTCAGAGCAGAACAAAGGCTGCTTCACAGAGCTAAAGTATAAATAATGTTTCAATATTAGTGGTATGGAAAAAAATGTAGAAAGCCTGCTTTCAGCTATAGTAACAAAGAATACATCTATATCAATGCTGATACATACTATACAAATCAACAAGCCACAAAAGCTGGGCAAGGAACATTATTCTGTATGGAGGCAACATTTCAGGACATTGTAAGATGAAGATTAGAAAGAGGACACTTTTTGAAGGAAATCTAGTAATGAAGAGTGACTCTGAACACTCTAGGTCAGTGGTGGTCAACATGATAAATATAGAGGGTGTCAAGTGTGGCCTCCAAAATGTCCAAATGACCTTACAATAGAATCTGTACTTACAGGTAAACTATTAGCATAATATTAAGATTAGATCAAATCAGGTTTACATACATGAAAACTAGTATTGCAGGGACATTTTCACAGGTTTTGATTGCTAAAATTCAGAATGATGTTATCCTTGCTTATATTCTTGACACTCAAACATTAAACAGCACCCAAAATAATTGCTGGGACATAGACAATAATGTAGGGAGGGAATCATTTTGGAATTTTTAAAGGACTTTTTTTCATCATGGAAGGGTCTTTATTAGTGGAGACCTGATCAAGCCCCCCATGCCGCAACAGATCACTTCTAATAGTGATCTATTGCTGGCTTGCTTAGCTCAGTCTTAGCTACCATAATGACAGGAAATGCCATGATGTCACATTACTTCTTCTAAACACAATGGTTCAAGCACTGAACCCTAGTGGAAACTGCGGAGTCCAGTTTTTACTAGCTGCTCTAAGGTGCTGCTCTAGATATAAGAAACTACATTCAGCAGCTAATGCTGTTAGCACAGCGATTTTAAGGAAACCTGCGCTAAATGAAATACTCCTTCTAAAAATGCTGGTTGCCTGTCTCTTTCTGAGACACTGGCCTGAACATGCAACAGGGCTGGACTCTAAAGTCTTTTCCAGTGAGAAGCTTGGTGACCTCAGGGGTGAAGCCATGGGCTCATAGAAAATGAACTGAATGACTCTGGGTGTCATTCAATGCTGCATCAAAGAGCACTGAGTCTTCTTTTTTATTTTCTAGAAGCAATAGCCAATGAATTTAAGAAATGGGAGTGGGCTTTAACGGAAACCTGTACTGAGAGAAATAAACAG